AAGCTGTGCTCCAGACTCAGGCCTTAGTTGCTGCCTTGAGGCCATCAGCATTCCTGCAGAGGGAGGAACAGAAGTCTGGGCCCATCCTGCCAGGTCCAGCCTAACTCCCCCAGGAACCTGTTTCAGATACTGCCAGGAAAGACACTAATTTGTCCTGCAGCTGTCCCAACCCTCGGCAGCCCACCAGCCATGCCCTGCCTTCAGGCAGCCTGGCCACAGGAAGGAATGCTCTTCGCAGGCTCGCTTGTCCTCTGAGTCCAGCACAGAGGCCCAGCCCAACCAGTGCAGGCACCATGGACACTTGCAGCCTTCAGGCTCCTTGGCCTGGCATAGGACTGATGGCTCTCAGACCCAAAGCCCTCCACCCTCACGCTCACCCAGCCCAGAGTAATGCTGCATGTCTATTTTAACCTCACACTCGGGTCCCACAGTCACATTACCAACTTCTGTCTTGGGAGTGGACGGAACCTTCCTCCTTTCCATCTAAGACCCCACATTTTATCTCAGGTCCTTGATGGGTTTAAAGGCCAGTTAGTAAAAGATTTATCAGCTTAACAGCAGAATCCAAGACTTCAGATGCTTTCTCAGTCCTCTTCATATGTAAAAATCAGGCCTTAAATCTCACTTCTAGACATACCACCATTAGGTCTATACAGTCAACCTTGTTACCAGACTCAGAAAAACAGGTCTAGATATAACTTTTTACTATTCCTTTAGCTAAAGACAGTGACTGCTCCCAGCAGTCTCACCTGTGTCTCATAGTAAATAATTGAAGGGAAAAAAAAAATGTAAAGCTTATGTAAGGCCTAAGGACACAGAAGCTGAAGAGAATATTTTAAGGTCTAAGAAGCTGTTTTACAGTTAACAAAGATAGGTGAAATCCTAGATGGTTATAAGAAGGTGATTTAAGGTATCCAAAAAATTAAAAATGCTTCAGATTTCTTCCTGTTGCTATGCCACTGTGGATTATCTTTTAAGTATAGACTTAAAAATGTTTCTCATTGTATTAGACTTACATACATCCAGTCTTCTGGATAGAGGGAAAACGTTGCTCTTTTCATGGTGTGTATCATTACACACCATGAAAATCAAGATCAAGTGAGCTTTTGCCCCTTCTGCTTCTGTCTTCCCTGAGCTCACCTTAAAGAGTGTTCATGCTGTTAACCCAAAATAATTCCCCAAGCCTCTGCTATGCTATAACACAAAGATGTGTGTCTACTGCCTACAGTGTGTATTTCACTGCAGATTACAAACAATGGGGATGCTAACATGTTTAAAACTTATCTTCTTTGCAAACCTAAAAAGGATTCTTGTAAGCTTCAGGAAATCCACCTAAATCCACCTCTTCGGGTCAGATGGACTCCAGATAAGACCTGCCAATCAACTGTCTAATTTTCACACCTATTGCCTATTTCAGAGGGTGGGATTCCTCCTCCTTCAACTACCAAAACTGTTGGTCCAAAAGTTTCAAATGTACACTTAAAAAAAGAATTTTCTCCCTAACTTACTTTTTCTTCTGCCCGTGTGGATGTTCCAGTATCCTGTCACGTCCAGGTGCTTCCTACATCCAAGACAGTGCTGGAGCAGCTACCCACAGGTGCTGCAGTCAAGCCTCCCAGACTGCCTCAGCCGGACCTGCATTTCCCTTCTTAGGCCGCGGATGTTCTCACAGATCCTGGACAGCAGTAAACAGCCAGCCCTCCCAGGACCTCGCCAGCCCCCTCATCCTCTAAGTTTGGGGACTTATGGTCACCCTCAAGTCAGCAGGAAGTAACTTTTTTTGAACACAACATCCTCAATCCCACCTTCACCCCTACCTAAGTTTGTCATTTTTTTTTTTTTTAAATTAAACAGAAAGGGAGGAATGTTGATGTAACAGGCAACTCAGCTGGCCTTCCCTCAGGGGCCTGGCAACATCTAAGGTCATCCTCTCTGGCTGCCTGTAGCCACGGAGGTGTGCAGCCAGTAAAAAGGACCTGCCCGCCACCACGCTCTCTCTCATTCTTGGTCTTGTTCTGTCTCTCTGTCTCTCTCTCAGTCTCTTTCTCTCTGTGTATGGGCACCCTCCTTTTTCTCTTCCCCTCCCCCTTTTCTCACAATAAATGGATATGTTTCATGGCATCTTAATCATTATTATAACACTATCTGCGTACCCAAGTTTTGAAGAAACTGTTTACAAGATTCTTGTCTTGTTTTCTTGGAGTTTTCTCACAGCGCTCAGAATTCTCACACAGCTCCATTCTTGAACTGTTTTGACAGCTATCTACAGAGTTTTATGACCTGTAGGGTCCTTCCATCTTGGTGTCGGTTGTGATAAGGCCTGGGATCCTGTGATAAGGTACTGTCCTCCAGGTGCTGTTCTTCCGACAGCCCTAGCGATCAAGCTCAGGGCCTCACACTTGCTAAGATCATACTCTCCCACTCGGGCCAATCACCAGCCAAACATAACCTTAAAAATAATCTGTATATACATCCACGTATTACATCATCCTAACAGATTCGTCACTGCCTCCTGAGGTAAATTTTTCTTTCCTTGTTTTGGAGACCGGATTTCTCTGTATGGCCTTTGCTGTCCTAGAACTCCCTCTGTAGACCAGGCTCAGAGATCCTCTGCCTCTGCCTCCTGAATGCTGGGATTAAAGGCATGAACCACCACCACCCAGCAATTTTTTTCATTTATTAATTTTTATTTTGTGTATGTGGGTGTTTTGCCTACACGGATGTCTATGCACTGTATGCATGCCTGGTGTTTGCACTGGAATTGGAATTATAGACTGTTGTGAGGCACCATGTGTTCCTGGGAATTTAACCTAGGTCCTCTGCAAGAGCAGCAAGTGACCTTGACCACTGAGTCATCTCTCCAGCCCCAACCTCGGGCTTATTTTGTCTGGCTTCATTTGGAAACTAAAGATTGTCAACACAATGGCTTCATATTCTTGGTATAGTATTTATAGATTTTTTTCCTCTGTAGATCTCTTTTAAAGTTTATAGCATGTTATTCTTGGGTTTTCAATATTATTTATGGTTACTTATCTTAACATCCTGGCGATTGAAGTAGAATCTCATTGCAGTATTGATTCGCATGTCCCCAGGGTTCCAAATGTTGAACAACATAAAGTTCTAAAATTTGCAACCAGGTGACATTTGTGTCACTTAATGAGCACACGCTCTGAGAACAGCACTGGTAAGCAATTTCCTCACTGTGCAGATGTCAGAGAGTATTGACACCGGCCTCGGCCTCAGTGGCACAGGGGGCTTACTGCACACAGCCTCTGTCGCTATGATGCTGCTGGGGTTTCGTTATTTTTTTTTTTTTTTTCTGGGGTTTATTTTAGGTGTTGTTGATACTGCTTTGGAGACAGGGTCCCTTAGCCCAGTTTGGTTTGGAACTGGCCAGGAAATTGAGATCTTGTTGCCTTTCCCTCCTGAGAACTGAGATTCTAAATGTGCACTGTCATGTCTGGCATTACTGCTTTCCGACGAGCTTTTTTAAAAATTGAGTGTGTGTGTGTGTCTGTGTGTATATGTATTCATGTTTCCATGTGTTCAGCTGCACATGGGTAGAGGCATCACAAGTCCTCCAGTGTCTTCCTTGATTGATCTCAATTTACCGTATATATTGAGACAAGTCTCTCACTGTGTGGCAGCCCATTTGGAGTTAATGGCAAATTGGAATGCGCATCTGAGCAGTGGAATTCGGCCTCTTGGCCCTGGCTGTAACCTAAGGTTTGCTGTCTCAGAAACTGACCCTGGCAGTTCTACAGCAGAGGGCTCTGACCCTGAGAAACTCTGTGCAACCATGGTAACCAGACAGCAGGTTCTGTGTAACCTTGAGTGAGCCCTCATATGTTAGTTATGGCTAAGTAAAAATTGCCTCTGTGAGAAACTGCTTGTACTTTCCTGCTATTTAAGTGTTAACTTGACATTCAGTAAATGACACCTAGATGGGAGCCTAGACTTGGCGTCCTTCTTTGTGTCGCCCTATCTCCCCCTCCCCCCCCCCCCCCGAGCTTTCACCCAGGTGGTATTCAGGTGTCACTGCAGGTTGGTGACATCATGGGAACCTAGAGCTCACCAGTTTAGCTAGTTAGCTTGACATAGGAATCCCTTCTCTGCCTCCCCAGGGCTGGGATTACAGTGGGCCATGCTCACCACGCATTCATGTAGGCTCGAGGCATCCAAACTTCATTCCTCACCCATGCACAGGTTATTTACCCACGGGGCCATTTCACCAGGTCCAAGAAATATTTTTAATAAGGTGTCCACTCCAAAATAAGTACACAAGATGGGACAAGCAAAAACAAGAACCAGTAAGAGAACTATGTATTATAAAAAAACGAAACCTGCAGGATGTGGTAGTGCCCTCCTGTAATTCCAGCCCTCTGGGAGACAAAGACAGGTGGATCACTGTGAGTTCGAGGCCAGCCTGGTCTACAAAGTTAGTCCAGGACAGCCAGGGCTACACAGAGAAACCCTGTCTCAAACAAAACAAAACAAACAAACAAAACAAAACAAAAACAAAAGCCAACAAAACAAAACAACAAGAACTAATGAACAGACTAGGAGTGGGGCTGGAAGCAGGAAAAAGCAAGGAACTAGTAGCTTTTCAGTATAACCCCACCAACGCATATATTGCTGTTTCAACCTTAAAAAGGGCAAATATTGGGGTTGAGGCAAGCTCAGCTGGGAAAGCGTTTTCTTTTTTTTTTTTCTCCACTCAAGCAAGACCTGAGTTCCACACCCAGAATGGACAAAAACAAAACAACAACAACAAAAAAAACAAAGGCAAGAAAAACCCCAGGCAGAGCCAGGCGCTGACGCACGCCTTAGCGCCAGCACGCGGAGGGTAAACAGATCCGACGCTCAGGAGCCAGGCTCTCGAAACCCGCCAATCTCCCGCGCTAGGCCGGGCGGACACAAAGCCTCCGGGGCGGGGCCGGGGGCGGGGTCGGGGCCGTGACGTCACAGCCAGCACGCCCCCTGACGTCGGACGCCGGGGACCCCGGGAGGTTTCTGGCGGCGCCGGCGCCATTTTGCCTGAGCGTGCGAGCTAGTGGGAGTGGAGCGCACCGGCCGTTGTAGCCGTCGCCTTCCTCCTCCCCACAGCCCAGACAGCGGGGTGACTAGGCCGTCGGCCCTCGAGCCGAGACTTAGATCTCGTTTTAGTTCTCGGGAGCGCCTGGCCGACATGAGCGATGTCGAGGAGAACAACTTCGAGGGCAGAGTGAGTACAAAGCCGCGGGAGCCGTCTTCGGCGGCGGCCCGATGCTCCGGGGCTCGGGGACGAGCGCGGTCGGTCGGGGCGAGGTTGCGGGGCCCGCGGGAGTGGCCTCCGTGGCCACTGCGAGCGCATCCTCGCGTCCCAAGATGGCTTCGGGGTCCCCCCCCTGCTTGCCTAGATGCCCCGCTAGCCCGCAGCGCTCGTCTCTGGCGGCTGACTGGCCCCTGGCCTGGTCCTATCCTCTCCTGTCGCTCCCTCTCCCCTCAGCTTCCCATCTCTGCTCCGAGGTGCGGGTCCCCGGCGCGCTGGGGCAGGAGGCGGCGGGGCGCTCCCTCCGGCCGGATAGTGGTAGGTGCTTCCTGCGGTGGCATCTCTGGCCGCCACCCCCTCCGGCCACCGCTGCGGGGTCTCGGGTCGGAAGCGCGCGGGGCTGCTGTCCGGGCGGGCACGCGTTGGCGCGGGACTAGCTGGGGCCTGTGTCTCCTTGGCTCTGTGTTGCAGTGAGCGGCCGCGTCTCCGTCGGAACCGGCGGCGTTGCGTCTGTAGGGGCGAACGCCTTGAGGTTGAAGGTGGGACGGAGCCCGGTGAAGTGGTTAGTCAACGACCTCAGCGACCCTTAAGAGTTCTTAAGACGGGAGCTGTGAAGGGAAAACCACGCAAGAGCCTTTTCCCTTAATGTCCTCTTTCCTCTCGCTTCTCCATGAATGTGGGGATGGCAGTAACGCTGCCCTCGCCGCCCGATGTTGGATTCTTTATGTCGCAAGCCCTAATGCTTTCTTTCCTCTGACCTTTCATCTGGAAGCTCCTTTACAGGTTTTTATGGTTAAACTGTCAAGACATACATCTTAACTTGAACCTTACGTAACTGAACGAATTTCCTGGCTCAGTTTTCAAAAAAACACCTAATCGGTGTTAACCCGGCTTACCTGAAATTTACAGGCCCTCTCCCATTTCTTCTCGCACCCCTCCCCCGGGAAGGGGCTCGAAGTTTTCACTATTTGAGGTCTTGTGAATATAGTCAGCACAAAGAACGTTACCCTCAGCTTGAGTGTATTAGAACGTTTATTATTGGCTTTTGAGCTTAATTTTGAAGTTACCCTAGTAGTGGAAACTGGTGGAAGTGAGTCCTGGTGAAACCATGTCAGAAAATAAAAGGGAAACAAAAGTCCCTTGGTACGCGAGTTCTGGTTGTGTTGGTATTTATTCTAGTGGGGGAGGGGCAGGCGGAAAAAACCAAAACAAAACACTTCAAGGAGTTTGCTGGAAGGAAAGATTTTGTCCCGTTTAGACAGCCATAATCAGTCAAGTCAAAGGACCGGTCAGTTAGGTTTTTGGTCTTGGAAAGAGAGGGTAGTTTTTTGTTTTTTTTTTTTGTTTGTTTGTTTTGTTTTGTTTTGTTTTTGTTTTTAATGCACCAGGACAGGATGAGAACTACGTTTAGTTTTAGTGGATTATTTGAATGAAATAGGTGAACCTGCTTACTGTTTTAGGATTGTTTGGGTGTCCTAAATTAAGATCCTGAGATAAAAATATTTACTGAGGAAAGTCGTTTTTCTGCCAGTCCTTTGTTTTTTTTCAGTGCCGGGCTTGGTTTGTGGGATTTACACCAGTGTCACTTTAATTGCTCTGCTTCTTTCTAATTTGTCATCTAGTGGAAGGAGTAGTAGATAATTAATCTCCTTACCACCAAAAACTTTGATTCCCATTCACCTTTCAGGTAAAATTAATTTAGGTATTAACAACATGATTAACAAAGAGATTTTCCTAGGTTACCCTCTTCTGCCATTTTGTAGTAATGGCTTTATTTTTATTTTTTACAATGGTACCCATGGCTCTGTAGGTTGACTCATCAGTACTTTCAGAGTCAGTTACAGCTGACCCAGTTACAGTCAGTTACAACAGGTTGTTTTTGTTGTGGATGTTCTTAAACTGTAATTGTATTTGTAATTACATAAAGAATGAGAAGGCTAGATGCTTTTTCTGAAGGTTCACGTTGGATTTTTGTTGTAGTTTCTGAGTTTTCTGGGAGCGGAACTCAGGGCTTACGCATACTAGGCAAAGTGCTCTGCCACTCCTTTTCTTAAAGCAGTTCAATATTTAAATACAGTGTGTGTGGGGGGGTTCTTGTTGACCATAAGTGAGCACTTAAGAAATGTCATATAATACAAAATTGCTATGCCCCCTTTTTATTGCCTCAAAAGATGCTGAGGGTAACATCCTGAAAGATTTTCAGATGATGTGTTTGTTGAAGATATTTACATGGTTGTTAGAAAAAAGATTATTAATCTAGTTTTTCTTTGAGGTTGTTTTGCTTGTTTATGGGGGGATTTTAGGGGTTTTTCAAGACAGGGTTTTTCTGTGCTGCAGGTCAATGTCCTGTAAATCAGGCTGGCCTTGAACTCACAGAGATCCTCCTGCCTCTGCCTCCCCCTACAGTGCTGGGATTAAAGTCAGGTGCACCACCACTGCCACCTGTTACTCTAGTTTTTTGATTGTTTGCCTTTCTGTAGGAATTTATTAATAAAATTGCATCTCATACTTACAGTGAATGATTGCCCTTTATCTTCAGGTAGTAAAAGGGAGCATGTTAATCCCATCTCAGTGAAAGTATTTGCAGTTAGGTGAAGCTTCCTGGAATTTATCAAACACTGAAGATAAAAAAAAATATTTGTGTATATATGATTTTAAAAATTTTAGGATTCAGACAGATCCTATAGTTCTTTATGGGTGCGTGTTATTTCTTGCTCATGATAATTTAGCAAGGGCTAGTTAGTGTCAGCCTTTTAGAAATAAGAGCCACCCAGATGGTGATAGTGCACACCTTTAATCCAAGCCCGAGGATCTCTGAGTTTGAGGCCAGCTGGATCTACTGAGCAAGGTCCAGGACAGCAAGAATACACAAAAAAATCAAAATAAAGGGGTGCTGGAGAGATGGCTCAGGGGTTAAGAGTACTGACTGCTCCTTCAGAGGACACAGGTTCAATTACCAGCATCCACATGGTAGCTCCAGGATCCAATACTCTGAAAGACATACACACTGGCAAAACACCAATAAACAGACAATAAAAATAAAAGAGAAAAGAAATAGAGAACTAAGCAAGACCCTGAAGACCACCTAAGCCCCAGTTTACTACTTATTAAGTGATGTGGTATATGTTTTGACCTTTCTTTGTGAAGAACACATTGTACTTCACCATATTGACCCATTAATGGGTTTGCTAAAATTATTTATTTATTTTAGATTGTTTATTTAATGTGTATGGACATATGTACAATGCCTAAGGAAGCCAGAAGAGGAAATGACAGTCCTGGGACTAGGGTTACAGGTGGCTGTGAGCTACTGCATGGTGCTGGAAATTAAACCTGGGTCCTCTAGAAGAGCAGCCAGTGCTCTTCATTGCTGTACATCTCACCAGCAGCCCGTACTTACATGTTCTTAATGAAACAAGACCTTACAGCCTTAATCTCAGGTGAATGACAATTCAAATCTGGGTTTTTTTGTTTTTTGTTTTTTTTTTTAAACTGTCATCAACTGTGTGAGGGTAAGTGCTGAAATAGTAACAGGTGAAGTGAGATACAGGGTTTTTTTTTAAATTTAGACCTAAGGATTTGGACTTAATCCAACATGCAGTAAAGACCGCCTATGAACTCTATTTTGGAAATATAGGACCGAAAGGACAGGTACAGGAACAACAGTGCAACTTGAATTATTGACAGCAGAAATCCTTTTCAAGGAGTACAGGAGTATGATTGTGCTATCAGAACAAAGCAGGTTCTGTGCTGAGCACAATGTGGCACACCACTAATTCTTAGCACTTGGGAGGCAGAGGCAGGCAGATCTCTAAATTGCAAGTCTGCCGGGGAACACAGCAAGACCCTGCCTCAAAAAAAGAAAAAAGCCAAACAATCCAAACAGGGCCAAAACATTTTGCTTGGTGTACATACACACGCACGCACTGTTCATTTAACAGTCATTGTGTTCGTTTTGTTTTGAGACAGGGTTTCACTGAAGCTCGTGGTTGCCTTAACTCAAGATCCTTTTTGCTTTACCTTTTAGATGCTGGAATTTACAGCCAGATCCACTACAGCCAGTTCCCAATGTTCTTTTGGAGCTGAGAATGAGGGGAAAGTGTCTCTCTCTTATCCCTCTCTTTCAATGCTGGGCTGACCTCAAACTCAGAGATCTACTTAACTCACCTTCTATGTGCTGGCATCTGTTTGTCATCTTAGTAAAAATGCTGAATTGTTTGCTTTATAGAACTTATCCACAGTTAGAATTTTGATGTTAATTAATATATTTGGTAGAAATTGAGAAGAGTGGACACAAGACTGTTGTTTAGGTCCAGGTTCAGGGTCTAGCACTCACATCGCAGCTCATAATCGTGTAGCTCCAGTCCTGGGGGTTCAGACATTACTGTTTTGGACTCTGTATGGAATGCAAACAGTTTTCATTTGGGGTGTAAGATTTTTATGAGAACTGGAGAGGTGGCACAGCTTACCTTACAGAGGATCCAGGTTTTTTCCTCGAGCTCTCATCAGGTAGACACAAGCACTTTAATTCCAGTTTCCAAAGGCTCCAATGCCTTCTAGCCTCTGTAGCACTGGAATGGAAGTGGTGTGCATAAAAGTTCATGCACATTTAGTGGAAAGTTGTGTGTGTGAAGTATAGAAATAGATTTATCATGCCGCTTTAGACTTAGTCAAGCTTCAGCAAGTTAATTTTGAACACTACCTAAATTAATTTTTTGAAGAGGTGGATAGAGTGAAAGTGAGAGAAGTGGCTGAGTTTTAAGAGTGTTGCTGTTTCTCCAAAGGACCTGAATTAGGCTCCCAGCACCCACATCAGGCAGCTCACAGCTGTCTGTAACTCCAGCTCCAAGAAATCCAACACCCTTTTCTGGCATCTGCAGGCACCCACATACACTAACAGAGAGAGACATGTGCACATAAAATCTATTTTTAAAGCTGGGTGTGGTGGTGCGTACCTTTAATTCTAGCACTCTAGAGGCAGAGCCAGGCCTGGTCCACATACTGACTTTCAGAATAGCCAGAGCAGCATAGAGAGGTACTATGAGTGAAAGAATGAAATCAATCTTTTCTATAAGCCTCCAAGGTTGTTCAGTGGTTAAAGGTACTTGCCACCAAACCTGGCAACCTCATATCAGTACTCCTGACCTACATGGCGGAAGAAGAGAACAGACTCCTCTACATGCCTGCCTAACCACACAGACTGCCACTACATTAAATAAGTAAATAAATAATTTACATACAAAAAAAGGCTAAAGCTAGCCAGGCACTGTGGCCTATAATCAGCCAACCTTCGGGTAATCTGTCACTCCCTCTTGAAAAGGGACCAAAGGATCAGGAGTTGACCAAGTTGGGCAGTATGAGATCAGGGGTATGGGCTGGGGGTGAGGTAAAGACTAGCCAGCTGTGGGGGCTCAGATCTACAGTCTGCACTGCAGAAAGGTTGTTGCGGGTCCTACCCGCAGTGAGGTCAAGAGCCTGAACTACCAGAAAACTATAGGAGGGAAAAGAGGAAAAAGTTTGACTTATGATAGGAATGGTACTGAATCTGAATTGTTTTTGGGTTTATTTTCTAATGTTTTAAATGCTATCATTAAACCAGTTATGTTCTTCTGTTTCTCCACCCTATCCCCTACTTTCAGTTGAACAAGGAATTTGCAAACTTAGGAAACCATCTTAAATCTCAAGTTTTTACATTTAAGATTTCCTTCACTGAAGGGTGCTAATTCACTCAGTATAAAAGTGCAGATGTTAGAAAAGAAGCAGTGCCTGTGACTGCCCACAGTGCATCACTATAATTTTGTAGGTTTATATGACACGTGCTTGGCACTGTAGCACATGGCTATTTGGGAAGTGGTGAAAACCTGCCTCAGCTTCCTGTCTCCCTGGAAACCCCAGAGCCTTGAGATCTGAGAGACTATAACAGAACTTAATACTGTGGGTGTGTCTTTTTCAGAAGGGGGGGGTAATTTTGTCCTTATTCTTAGTTTGACCAGAGGGGAAAATGTCATGAATAATTAGCATAATAGTTTCCTTGAACCTGGCTGACTGAAAACATTTGATATTGTCAGTAGGTGCTCAGAAATCATCAACCTGATGGAGACCTTTAGAAAAGACATTTCTGTGATAGTGAAGATAAGTAGGAAGGAAATGGAAGGCGTGGCTGAGGAAAATAAGAGTATGACTTGGGAATTTGGCAGTTGGCTTCTAATTTAGTTTTAGTTGTTATGATAGTTTTCAAGTGTACTCCAGACTTTAGAGAATATACAGGCATTTAGAAGTCACCAACAAGTCTTTATAGAGACCACATAGACATCAGAGTGCATCAGACAAGTATGATCAGAAGAATTGAAATTATGAGCACCATATAGTTTGTTTTCCAGGGATGGTTCTATAGCAGTTTAGTTTGAAATTGGAAATATGTCTTTTATTAGCCTAACTTCTACTAAAGACCTGCCCCATTTTACCCAGAGAAAGCATGTGCCCCTTATTATAGACTGATTAAATAGAGTAAGTATGGTATTTGGCCAGCCAAAACACATTTTCTTCCTGCCATATGCTTTAAATTCACTAGTTTATTTCTGTGGAAATTCCCACTTTATAAGTACTAGGGAAATAACAGGAAGTTGGACTTGAATTTGTCCCCATAACTTGTTGCCTGGACTTAGTATTTTAAAACGGTTATTATATAGTGTTTAATATATGTTTACTTATCTTAATGTTAAGCACTAAGCTTAATATTTTGCATTCACAGTATACTGTGCATCCTATTGCTTATTCATGTTCTACAAGAATTTGTCCAAAGCCTGTTTGAGTTGTGCTTTGAGGACCTTTGTCTGGCTTCTTTCTGGTTTGTAGTTTCTAAGGTGGATGGAAGCCTATTTAGTATTTCTTTTATAATCTGTGATAAGGGTTAATATGAGTCATTTTGCCTGCTTCATTTAGCCTGGCAGCACATTGTATGAGTTTCTGAATGTTGTAGCCAGCATACTGAGAAAATTTTAAACATCCCTTCAAATAAGAGCTTTAAGAGCTGGTTAGTCTACTAAGACAAGACAAATGACCAGCTCTTTCCAGCATTTGATTTTTTTTTTTTTTTAAGTTTAAAATTAGCCAGCTGTGGTTTGCACATGCTTGTAAAAAACCTGTTTCTTGGGCCACTAAAGATGGATATGGTTCATTTGATACCACAAGTTTGAAATCAACATAATAAAACCTCATTTCCTAAAGAAAAAAAAAATAAAGTAACGGTCATTAAAAAATTGAATGTTTCATTTAAAAAGATGAGTCAAAGATTAAAGAAATATTATCTCGCATTTGTCCTTCATAAATGACTATAGTAGCCTGATTTCTAATACGAGTTAAGTGAAAGTGGCATTTATTAATTAGTGTTTGAGAAAGAAGATACTTTTAAATGATAAACATTATGATCTGCATTCTGTATCACCAGCTATTTGAACAATGGGCCGCATCAACGAGTAATTTGTCCATAGTTAAGTGGACTTATCTGTAAAGTTGTTTATATAAGATTCCTGAAGATCAGAGAGATTAGATTTTAGAACAGCTTTAGATTTGTTTGTTTTTAAATAATGCTTTTGGACTGAGTGCATAAGTTAGTGTGAAGTCTCCAAAGTGGTTTTGGGGCCAGTGGGTAAGGCCCTTGCTGCCCACTCCACAACACCGAGGTTTGAGTGAGAATGGACTCCAGCGGGTTGTTCTTTGCCACGTGTACAAAATAAGTAAGCATGTTCTTTTTAAAACAAGTCATTATCAGTACCAATCTTATGAGGAGAGGCTTGGAAATTAAGAATGATCTGGCCATTAAATTTTTGTCATGTTGGAGGGTTCATTAGTCATTTAAGAGTAAATTTTAGGCTTTATTTTAGGATGCTTTTGGTTTTTGTTTTTGTTTTTTAACATAGTAAAACTAAAGATTTATAGTACCTCAGCAAAACCACCTGGTATTTATGTATAAGAAAGTCTGGTGCATGCATAAGCATGTTGTAACTAATCCTGCGCTTCCATAGCAGCGCACTAGAGGTTCTGCTTTAGAGAAAGGAAAGCTAGAAAGAAAACATTCGCTGGTTCAAAATTCAAATTTTGAACCAGCCCCCTAAAAACTTCAATTATAAGCAAAATCAATAATTTTCTCTTCCTATAAGTAGTGAATATATAAGTAATGAAAATTACTTATAAGTAATGAAAATTACTTATAGGAGTATTAGAAATATGAGTTAATATAATAAATTTAAGAGTCTAAGATGAAAGACTTAACATTGCATAACTAAATGGAAAGGTTGTCACTGACCCGGGAAATAAGGGGTACATTCTTGATAAACTTCAAGGAATGGGGCCAGGGATATAGCCCAGGTGATAGGGTGATTATCTAGCACCAGGACCTGGGTTCAGTCCGAGCACTGCATAAACCAAGTTTCGGTGTCCATGTTCATGTGTACTTAGATAGAGGCAGGAGGTATAGGAGATGTCGCTGTGGAAAGGAAAATTGGGTGTGTACTTTCGTAAGATTGATTAATAGTTAAATGGATGAAGAAACTGTGGTTGTGTTGGATTTTATAACTGAAGTTACCATGCTTTTCAGTTAGTTATACATTATTTCGTAAGTTTTTCCATAGAACTGAGTTTTTGAGAAGCCAGTTTGCCATGAAGGAGATGTATGTTGTCTCATCAAGAGATGAGGGGCCCCTGTGCATATGCGAGTGCAGATGTGCGTATGCAAAAGCTGTTGGGTCAAGGCTCACTGTCATGACGCACATTTTCTTATTTGTGTTCTGTGGGATTTAAGTGGTACAAAACCCAGGAATTTTTGTGATCCAGCACTTGGAAGGTTATGGCAGGAGGATTTCTGTGAACTGTAGTCTCTCCTGGGTTATAAAGTGCAAATGTGTCTCATAAAACAGCCACAGCATATATTTGGGGAATTTACAAGCCAAAGTAAGGACGGTTAGAAACTTTGTGCTCTTTCCCTTTAGTCTATGCTTGCTTCAAAACACATCTTCCTGGTTAATCAGAACAAGTGAAGATGGTAGTCAAAATTGGGAGAGGGTGTAATTATACTAATTTGTTATGTCTTTGATCTTAGCGTTTGTGCTGTCTTGTGAGTTCAGATGGTGTGTACAGCTATTTTGGCCTGGAATGCTTTGCTTTAGCAGTACTTGAAATTTTTAGTGCCATTTATTGAAAATTAATTCTAAGATCAGTAAGAGCCTTCAGCCCATAAGATAGTGGAAAATGAATATTTAGGTGGGGGGAATTTGTTTGAATTACATATTTATATTAAAATTTAGGAACTAGAGTGGAACATGAAAGGGGAGGAGGGTAAAGAGTGTGGTTAAAAACTTAGAGAAATTCAGTAAATTCTGTTAGACTACACTTTTGAACATTTTTAAATACTATAAAAATTTGGTTTTTTAAATTTATTTTTAAATAAACTAGTTATTTGCACTTTACCTGCTGGCCTTTCCATTTGGTAGATAACATTCTGAACTCCAGCAGAGTTTTATAATCCCCACGTGCTTAAATATACTAAATGTTCTTTTTCCATTAAGGTTAATGTTCGTGAAGAAATTGAAGAGTTTTTTCCAAGAATGTGGAAGATAAATCAAGATAAAAGAAGGCTAATGAAAAGTATTAAAGATCAGAAAATTAAAATTGAATGGGGGAAAAAATTGAACAGAAGATTGGTCAGATAGAAGCACTTGAATATTTTTTAAGGCTATTTTGAATTGTTTGAATTGGGGAAGAATACACGAAGTATGAAAAATGAAAAACTCAATGAAGAATGAAGAGAAGTAGAAAGCAAGAGTGAAGTAGAATTAAAAGAATCTGGAAGAATGAATGGGTCCTAGGTTAAGTAAATGTATGGTTTATGTTCCAGTGTCTGTATGATCAAGTTGTAGATGAATTTGCATGATTACTTAGTTAATAGAAAATTGGTGATCTGGTTCAAGTAGGGAATTATTGAGGATAGTTAGCAGTATTAACAATGGGATATTAATAAGCTGAAATTTTTTCTGGAGGGTGTTGCCTAACCATTTGTTTTTCAGGAGCAATCAATATAAATAATTACGGTACTTTAAATGTTAGGTGTTAGGCATCTGCGTGACCAGTGCCATTTGTAATACTGTCTTCTTTGTTAGGAGTCTCGCTCTCAATCAAAATCTCCAACGGGAACTCCTGCTCGAGTAAAATCAGAGAGCAGGTCAGGATCTCGTAGTCCATCAAGGGTTTCCAAACATTCTGAATCCCATTCTCGGTCAAGATCAAAATCCAGGTAAGTTTAAAATGTGTAAACTGCTTTTCCTTACAGCAAGAGGGTCAGAAAGTTCGCCATAGGCTCAGACTGCATAATAGAATCCTTTCTTGGTGTATGTGCTAGTGCCTACCCATTAAGTGAGGCACCTGCCACCATACCTCGTTTACCTTACTCTGTGAAGCAGAAAACTCAGTCAGGCCAGAGCTTGCCAGTGTGGCTATTCTAGCCGGAGTTTGCTCTGAGGACCCTCATTCTCCACCTTCCAAAACTGGAGTTGCAGGCCAGTCACTATACCTAGCCAGTATTTACAGGGCTCTGAAGGTTCACACTGTGCATCCTGTGCCTTACATCGGAATGTCTATGAGCCATCTTCCCAAGCCAAAATTGATTGTTTTAAGGTGGTAGATAGGGCTGAAATTAGTATTAAGAAAATAAGGAATATATTCATTAGTATTCTTCCCACTCTGCCTATATGTCTTTAAGTATGCTTTTTTTTTTTTTTTTTTTTAACATTTTTTGGTGGAAGATGAAATGAGAGTGAAGAGATGGGCTAAATAGAAATGTTAAAAATAATAAGGGCTAGAGGGGCTGGAGAGATGGCTTCAGTGGTTAGGAGGTCTGTCTGCTCTACCAGAGGTAGTCCCGAGTTCAATTCCCAGCAACCACATGTTGGCCTACAAATTTATACCCTCTACTGCCCTCTTTGGACATGCAGGCGTACATTCACATAGAGCTTTCAAAATAAATAAATAAAATATTTAAAAGAGAGAAAGAATAAGGGATAGAGAGATGGCATAGTGGCTAAGGGTGTTTGCTGTTCTTCCAGAGGATCTGAATTTGCTTTCTGGTTCTTAGCAGCTTTCAACCAGCTGTCTGTAACTCCACCTACAGGGAACTATTTTTGGCAGGCACCTACAAAAGTGTGCATACATGTACACACATGCAAGATTCCTATAGAGTCCAAAAGAGGGGGTTGAATCCCTTACAGAAAATTGTGTTGGAGACCAAAGTGAGGTCCTCTGCAAGTGTGGTGCGCAACCAAGCCATCTCTCCACCCCCACCCCAAAAATCATTAAAAAAATATATATGTTTTTTTCTTAGGCCATTGGAGGGTTGGGACATGTCAATTATTGCAGTACAACAAAAATGAAAGGACAAAGTAGCTAAAAACATACTTGTATGCAGTCTAGAGGGCAGAGGGAATTTGATCTAAATACTTTATAAAGATTACTTATTAAGAGTTTTTATTATTGTGTGGTGTATGTGTGCCCTCAGAGACTAGACAAGTGAGTCATCCTCTGGAACTAGAGTTTCAGATGGTTAAAAGCCACCATAAACCAAACCATAGTCCTCTTGGAAAGCAGCAAATGGTCTTAACTGCTGAGCTAGCTATCCAGCCCTGTGATCCAGTATTTTAACTGTTTATTTCTCTCAAAGGTCAAGGTCAAGGAGGCATTCTCATAGACGCTACACTCGCTCCAGGTCCCACTCTCACAGGAGACGATCTCGAAGTAGATCCTACACACCAGAGTATCGGCGGCGGAGGAGCCGGAGTCACTCTCCAATGTCTAACCGTAGAAGACACACTGGCAGCAGGGTATGTGTATGAGTTAATGGAAACTTGGCTTTCTCTTTTCTGTGTAGTCATGGTAGAATACCTTGCTTTTATGAAAGGGAAATGGGACTGCAGAAAGAAAAAAAAGTACTTTAGCTTTGGGGTAGTACTTTAATCCCAGTACTTAGGAAGCAAAGGTAGGTGGATCTCTGAGTGCCAGAGCTACAGAGTAAAACCCTATTTAAAAAAAAAAAAAAAAAAAAAAAAAGCTGTGTTTTATGTTATGCATTTGCTAATAAAGGACATGCTACTACCATCCTAACAAGCCTGCATAATTCATAAACTTCTACAAATGAAGTACATGTTCTTGACTTTGTGTGACAGGTTTTTGCCATGTACATACGGCTGCCTTCAAACTTGGCAGTCTTTCTGTCTTCATCCTCTTAAGTGCTGTGATTACTAGGGCAGCAAGCGTGTGTAAATACATTTCCAAGGAAGCCAGAAGGACATTGGTTTCCCTGGAGCTGTAATGAACAGTCATTTGTGCACCTCCTAACGTGGTGCTAGGAAATGAACTCTGCTCCTCTGCTAGAGTGTGGTGTGAGGTCTTAACCGCTGAGCCATCTCTCCGGCCCCTTGAATCTTTTGTTTAGTGTGCATGTGGTATGTGCCTGAGCTGGTGTGCATGTAGAGACCAGAGGTCCTGTCCACTGCCAGTTATCTGCCACCAAATCTTTGAGATACAGCGTAGCGCTCACCCGTTGGCTCTGCCGGCTGCACAGCAAGCACTAGGATTGCAGGCACGCACAGTTGGACCAGGCTCTTTCCATGGCTTTAAAAAAGGTCAAATTTGGAAAAAAAAAAATGTGCACCAATTAAAATGAAAATCATTAACTGATTGTGATACACTCAATTTGCATTGTAGTTGATTCTTTTCCACTCAAAAGTGTTAGTACAGAGAACAAACAAGAAAATACCAAAATCTCTACGTAATAACTTAAATTTTCACTAAATGCCTGTGAGACACTGAAGTGTTTGGGTTTGGCTTAATAGTTGGCAGGTGGGCCTCAAGATACCTCAGTAAGTGGATGGGGCACTTGGCTGCCAAGACTGATGATCTGAGTTTAAAACTAGAACCCACATTGTAAAAAGAATTGACTTGACCTCCATATGTGTTTCATAGCACAAGTGTATCTTTGTCTGTCTGTGTGTGTGTGTGTGTGTGTGTGTGTATGTATACACACATGTGCACGAACTAAAGTGGGTGACAGAACTCAGGTTTCAACCAGGTTGCTTTACAGTTCTTACCTGCTGTTCTCCTACATAATACCAGTATTCCAACCATGGTAGACTGTGTATCAGTGTTAATAATCTTTTGTTCATGTATACAATATTCTGCCTGCATGTCAGAAGAGTCCCCCATATCTCATTATAAATGGTTGTGAGCCACCATGTGGTTGCTGGGAATTCAACTCTGGATCTTTGGAAGAACAGCCAGTGCTCTTAACCTCTGAGCCATTTCTCCAGCCCCATGTTTAATAATCTTAAAGTCTGGACCCTGGAAACATTTATTCAAAGGATCCTGCTACAGAATGAAAATGGTGGCTGGAGATCAGTCTCAGTGGCACTTAACTGCTTTGCCACAGGACTAGAGTCAGGATCCATTGCTCCCATTTAGCCTCTGTGGACATGGATACATGAAAGGAGAGAGTGGTTTTTAAATTTTGTTTAATATGTTTTTGAGTTCTTGCTTCTGTATGTGTGCTCATGTGTTCCTGCACCACATGTTTGGGTGGGGAAGTCAGGAAGTGTTGGATCCCCTGAAAATAGAATTACAGGTAGTTGTAAGCTGTCATGTGGGTACTGGGAGCTGAAATGGGGTCCTCTGCAAGAGCAGCAAGTACCCTTAACCATTGAGTGTTATGGGGTGCATGTTTTTCCTCCTGTCTCCAAGCTCCCGAAATAATGATTCATGAATCTCAAAATATATTTACAAATACCTTGGCCGTATAGCTAGGTTCTTCTGACTCACTCATAACTTTAAATAACCCATTTGTACTAATCTACGTTCTGCCCTCTGGCTGGTTACCTCTGCTCAGGTACCGCATGTGTCCTCACATCTGCCTTGGCGAGTCTCCTGAACCTGCTCTATCCCAGAATCTTCTGCCTGCCAGATGTTCCACATCTGTTCTACCCTTTCATATAGACCATAAGTTTTTGTTTTTGTTTTTGTTTTTTATTGACAGGCAGTATATCCATACAATACACAAGATACTCTCTACAATTGAGCCATCTCTTCAGCTTCTGAAATCTTTGGAAAAAAAAATGAAAATAGAGGGCTAGGAATGTAGCTGAGTTGGAAGAGTGCTTGCCTGTTGTGCATGAGGCCTAGATTCAACCTCCAGCACCACATAACATTGGGTGTGTGATGCATTGATTATCCTAGCCCTGAGGTTACTGATACAAGGTGAAAAAGAGTCCGATTAAGTAGCAAAGGATTAAGTATGCAAAAGGTGAATTCTTTGAGTACATTCTGGAAATTCCTGGGATAGACTAGAAAAAGGGAATATGTTTGCATAGGCTACAGCTATAAAGTGTATTCCCAAAAAAGTCTTTGTGTTTTAATCTGATTTGAGTTTTAATTTTAATTCTACTTTATTCAACAGGCAAATCCAGATCCTAATACTTGCTTGGGAGTATTTGGCCTCAGTTTGTACACAACCGAGAGAGATCTTCGTGAAGTATTTTCTCGATATGGACCATTGAGTGGTGTCAATGTGGTTTATGATCAGCGAACTGGGAGGTCACGTGGATTTGCTTTTGTGTATTTTGAGAGGATAGATGACTCTAAGGAGGTAAATCTGGTTTAAATTTTTCATTTGAAAGAATTGTTGGTGTGCATTACTATAGCAGCAGTACATAGTATTACCATCACTGTGTAGTTTCTAATTAGTAACAGCATTAGTATTAGAGGCCTGTTAATCCGCATTTCTGTAAACATGCCTTCTGATTATGTGCCCTTACTGGAACTCAGCTCAATGTTTCCATTAAAAAGTTCGTTTTAAGCTGGGTGTTGGTGGCACACGCTTGTAATCCCAGCACTCAGGGAGGTAGAGGCAAGTTGATCACTGAGTTTGAGGCCAGCCTGTTTTACAGGACAGCCAAGGCTACACAGAGAAACCCTGTTTCCCAAAAAAAAAAAAAAAAAAGCTTTTCAGCTTATGCATTTGTCATTCTGTCCTGTAATTCAAATAAGAATTGATACCCATCACAATACAAATAGTGCAGATGGCACGCGTCCTGTATTTAATGCTGAGAGCTGCTGGGGTTGAAAAACTCCTGAATGCCTCCTGTAATGTATTGGACTGCCCCAGAGCATAAAATCAGTAAGCCCAAATCTGTTCTTTTTCCTGTCCTCCACCTTCCCCCATTTTGGTTTTTGGTTTTTTAAGGCAGGGTTTCTCTGTGTAACAGAGCCCTGGATGTCCTTTGTAGACTAGGCTGGCTTCTAGCCTCGAACTCCCAGAGATTGTCCTGCCTCTGTTTCCCAAGTGCTGGGATTAAAGGTGTGCACCACCAGACCCAGCAATAAACCCTAATCTTTTTGGTGCTGAAGTTAGGAAATTATATGATTTTATGTTTTTTTGTTTTGTTTTTTATCTAATAGCTATACTAATGTCTTAGTTTCTCAGTTACCAGAACATTTTAATATGTGTGTATTTGTGGCTTGCTTATTCCTGTTTTGTTTTTTAAAGTTATGGTCTTTGTAGCCCTGGTTATCCTTGAACTTATCTGCCTCCCTCCACCTCTTGAGTGCTGAGATTAAAGCTGTGTGCCTTGTTTCCGTTTTATTGGGGCTATGGGCTTGGTTTGGTGGCTCATAATCCTGCCACTTAGGAGATGTCAGCAGAAGTAGATCAAGGGTGGGGAGGTAGAGTGGTAGGTAGAGCCATCCATCCAGATAGACAGAATAGGGGCAAAACAGAGGAAAAAGTTAACATTGTCCATGCCTTCCGAGACAGGAGAACCTCAGTTAGCGGCAGGCAGAATTACATCATGAGAGCCTGTCTGAACACATGTAAGACTTGTCTTAGCTTTATTCTTTCATCTTTTTGGGGTGGTGGGGTGGTTTCTTTTCAAAACAGGGTTTCTCTGTGTAGCCTTTGTAGGCCCTGCTGGCCTCAGACTGCCCTTGCCTTCCAGAGTGCTGGGTGTAGGCCACTGTGCCTGCCTCAGCTATTTTATTTGTCATAAAATGACAATTGACACGTTTTTCAAATTTTTCAGTTTACAGAAATAAACTATATCATTGTGCTATGCCTTTTTGAAAACATCAGTGGAATGATAAACTCGAGTGCAGGCAGTTTCATTCCTTTTCACTTGGTGATCACTAGGGGGCAGTGTTGGCTTAGAGTTAATTTTCAACAAAGGGTGCAAGTTGTTATTACAGTTGTTTGCCTGCATCCTTTTAAATCCTTAATTCTTGGCTGCTTAGTTTTACCAACAAACATTGAACTAACTGAAGAACAAGACTAGAGTTAGGATGGGCAGGGCTGCTGTAATTCCCAATTCTTTCAGGGCAGCGTATTGATGCCTAATTTTAAGGTGGGTGGTGGAGATTATAAATGAAAATTTAAATCTTAAAGTTTAGTTCACTGTTCTGAATATCTGAGGCGGTTCTAAGTGAAGAGGAACTTAGTGGTGTTCTGTCTGGGCAACTTAAATAGACTCTGGACAATACTGAGCCCTGGAGATGCTGACGGTCTATATAAGCTGAGTATAACTATATAACATATATAATATAAGCGGAATATATAATATAAGGTGGATTTTACTGGATTATAAATACTTCATTCTTAATTTTAACTAAAAAAAATGGCTTCAAGATTAGTGAATTATGAGTTACCTTTTTTTTTTTTTCTTCTTTAGGCCATGGAAAGGGCAAATGGGATGGAGCTGGATGGTAGAAGAATTCGTGTGGATTATTCTATCACCAAGAGAGCGCACACACCTACCCCAGGCATTTACATGGGCAGACCAACTCAGTAAGATTTTGGATTTGATAGGGGTAGGATGCTTGTTTAGTAGGGTCTGGGCGTTGATGTAGGTCCCTGATTGATTTCCAGCTTATTTAGAATTAAACTGCACTCCAGAAGTGTAGAGATGCTGTAAATTTTGTTAGAAAGTTGAGAGCGTATACATCCCCCTCCCTTCTGTGTCATTACCAGTGTACTCTCATGTGAGAGGACTGGAAAGATGGCTCATCAGTTGCGAACACGTGCTCCTGCAGAGGACATGAGTTAGAATATACACTTAAACTTCATTACTTTTATTTTATGCACACATTTCAGCAAGTTAACAAAATATCTGTTCTTTGATGTTAGTGCTATAAAAATAGAAAAATTTAAGTATTGCTGGGCATGGTGGCTTGCTTCTGTAATTTAGGCTCCCAGAGGAAAATTGCCACTATTGAAGCCAAACATGGCCACAGTGTGATACCCTGTTCAGTAAGATTAAAACAAAACTTAGGGAGGCCTCTGTGTAGGGCAGATGATACTGATAACAGCATTTTAAAATATCATGGTTTTCACATTGAACAAAAAACATAACTTTTGTTTTTTGAGTAAGGAGTACAAAGGAGCCAGGGCCAGGCAGATCTCTGGAGTTTTTAAGCCAGCCAGGACCACTGTCACACAAAGAAAGCCAAGCACAGACTTTGACTTAGTTTAATTGAAGGAAATATAGGTTGGGGAATAAAAGGCCTGCCAAAAAGCAGACCTGAAACAGTATCCCTTGTTCGGAACACATCAAGAAAAGGGGCTTAAATTTAAATTCACCTCCAAAGATGTAAACATTGGATCTTTACATAGTTTTATTGGAGTCATTTTTCTGGTGTTTAGGATCAATTTAAATGAACTTATATATTTCATCTTTAAATACTTGTTTTAGGCAGAGGACACAAGGCTTGCAGAAGTTGTTTCTATTCACCCATGTAGATTCCATAGGTAGAATGTAAACACCTTATCTTTTCACCCTCCTCTGGTTTATTAGGTTGGGTGGTAAACTTTGGGGGCCGGGGTTGTTTTGTTTTTAAGGTTTATTTCTCATTTATACAATGTTCTTTCTGCATGTACACCTATACGCCAGAAGAGGGCACCAGATTTCACTCTAGATGTTTGTGAGCCATATCTTTCCTTTTCTTCCTTCTTTTTCTTTCTCTTTTTAACCAGCATTTCTCTAGAGAGCCTTGGCTGTCCTTTGTAGGCAGGACAAACCCACAAAGATCCTCATACCTCTGTCAAGTGCTGCAACTAAAGTTGTGGGTTTTTGTTTTTTAATGTGTGTTGGGAGGGGTACCTGAGTACAGTGAGTGCCTTTGGAGGCCAAAAGATGGTGTCAGCTGCCCTAAGGCTGGAGGGATGTGCAGTTGTGAGCCTCCTTAAATGAGTTCTGGGAACTGAATCTTAGAAGAGAAGTGAGTACTCTTAATTACTTGAGCTGAAGCAGAACACTGTGGAAGTCAGCAAAGTGAGGTGTGAGGGGTTTTGACATGCAGGAGGAGGTTCCTTCTTATCTCACTGTAACTACTACTTTGTGTTGAATGATCCTGGATAATAACCTTTTTTTCCCTTCATTTTTCTGTAGTAGCGGTGGTGGCGGCGGCGGCGGAGGAGGTGGCGGTGGCGGGGGAGGTGGTGGTAGACGGCGAGATTCTTACTATGATAGAGGATACGATCGAGGCTATGATCGATATGAAGATTATGATTACCGCTACAGGTAATGCCTTCGTTTCAGGGATCTGTATTCTGCTATAGTAGCTTTATTTAGCACTTTAATGGTGAATATGTGTAAATAAAACTTCATGTTTGAGCTGGGTAGTCCCTGTTGCTTGAAAGACAATAGTCCAACCTGCCAAGCTGGTGACTTAATATATTTTGGGGTGGGTGAGATGGGGAGGAGTTAAAGTAAATTTAAAGACTGGGAGCATCACTCAGCTGTGATGCTCTTCTAGTATGCGTTAGGTCCTGGGCTCAGTATTGCTTGAGAATAAGTTATGTGAGGGTTTGTTTTGTTGATTGAACGCAGGGCTTCATTTTATAGCCCTGGCTGACTTGAAAACTGGCTGTGTAAACCAGCATGGCCTCCATTCACAGATCTCTGTCTTGTAGGTTGTTGGGATTCAGGTGGCCTGCACTGTTGGGTGGCTAGGGTTTTGTTTATTTTGTTTCCACTTTTTCACCTGACTGTAAAATGAGCACATGTCTAATTCAGCTCTCATTTCTTACAGAAGGAGGTCGCCTTCTCCTTACTATAGTCGCTACAGGTCTCGGTCAAGATCTCGTTCCTATAGCCCAAGTACGTAAAATTTGCTTCTGTAGCATGAAAACCATCGTTCTAACCATTGGTTTATTTTGGGGATACTTGGATATGTGATAGCTGTTATTGGTTTAAAAAAATATTAGGCAACTCAGACTATAAAATTGTTTTTGTTCTCTTTCAGGACGCTATTGATAATGGAGTGATTGTGCCCAAGGACTTTTCCTTTTTTCTGTCTTTTTTTTTTTTTTCTTTTTGATTCTGGATTTCCAATGCTTCCTAGAAAAAAAAAAAAAATCCCTGGTTTATTTAATCTATGTGTGGCCAGTTGTGTTGCTGTTTTCCACCCTTTGTTAAACTCTTAAGGTGTCATTGTTTTGTGTAGTTAACAACAGTGAAAAGGAACGCAGTATTATAAGCCTTGCGTTCTTTGCCTTTACAAAAGATTAACTCCTTACTATTAGGAAAGACGGTCTTTTGAAAGCTTGTGGCAGATGTAGACAGATTAGAAATCTGGTATTACAAACTGCTTTCTAACCTTTTGGGAAGATAAATAACACTTTAAGTAGCTCAGTCATGTTGGGTGTGTCTGGAGTGGCATGGAGCAGTCCAGTAGTTGAGTGTAGACAGTTGGATGCTGTAGGAGGAAATATGGGATTTTTTTTTTCAGAATGTAACTTTGAACCTAAAAATTAAGTCACCTTTTAGAAATTAAAAAGCTTGTAATTTCTATAAGACATGTTGTATTTGAAGTTACATGTTAAACCTTATAAACTTAAAGTGTGATTTTTTTTTTTTAATGTTAAATTTACGGAAAGTTAAGTATTCCCTTAATCACTGAAGGACATTTATTTATTTCCTAGAACAATTGTATAACTCGCTGTTAGAAATTTTGGTATTGAGACATCGGTTGTGTGGGTTATTGTATAGTATAGAATCCTAAAATGTGGGGAAGAATAATTTCAAATAAAAGTTAATTTCAAAATGAGATTGTCTGTGTTTGATAACAGTGGAAATACAAGTGGGTTGGAAGCTGTTTCTATGCGCATGAGTGTTTTGCCTGCACATAGATCTATATAGAATCTATATATAGAATCTTCTATAGGCTAGAAGATGGTATCTTTTTCTCTGGAACTGTCACAGTTGTGAGCCACCGTAACTATCTATGATGAGATCTGGTGATCTCTTCTGCTGTGTGGGCATGTATGCAGACAGAATGCTGTATAAATTATAAATCTAAAAAAACAAGGATCAGGATCGTGGGGTCAGAATTTTGTAAATCTGGAATTAAAGTTGATATCATTGTTAATCTAGTTTTTCAAAACCTGATGGCTCAGGTTACAAGCACTGGCTGCTCTTTCAGAAATCCTGAGTTCAACTCTCAGCAACCACATGGTGGCTCATAACCATTTATGATGAGATCTGGTGCCTTCTTTTGGTGTGCAGGCATACATACACATGCAGGCAGAACACTGTATACATAATGAATCTTAAAAAAAAAATAAATGTACAAAATGAAAATCTAAAACAAAAAATTATTTTGATGGCTAGAGTTAGGAGCGGAGGAGTACTTGTTACTCTTGAGACAACCCAGGTAAGATTCCCAGCACCAACATCTCACCATCTGTAACTCCAGTGCACCCATCTGATCTTGATAGGCAAGTGATGCACAAAAATATATGGAGACAGAACATTCAGGCACTATAAATTAAGATTATTAAATGGAATCGTTGCTGTAAAGAGTCTCAGGATGGCTTACAAAAAGGACAAACATCTGCAAGTATATGGGCAGGAAAAGCAGGGTCCACCGGAGTGTCAGCTGATCTACCGTGAGACCCGGGAGGGGAGGGCAGGAAAGTTCCCACTCCAGCGTGTCCCCAGGAAGTTTACCATTATGTTGAAGCAGTTATTCTCCATAGCCAAGAGGGGCCCAACCAAGTACCAGCACTGGCCAACTAGATAAGAGAAAATGGTGTAAACACAGTGAGATATAAGACCTTTGAAAGGTGTTGGGCTGGGGAGGTGATGGCTCCAAAACCAGTTCCTAGCACCATATAGGGGCAGCTCACAACTGCTGATCTGGTGATGGTGATCAGATGCTGCTTCAGATGACCCAGTCATTTGCTAATATATTTATACATAACTTTTTAAATTGGCCTGGTGGTGTTCACACCTTTAATCCCAGCACTTGGGGGGCCAGTGACAGGTACATCTTTTGAGTTCCGAGCCAGCCTGATCTACATAGTTCTAGGGCAACATGCACCCTGTCTCAAAAATAAATAAGCCTTTAACAGGAATCCTGGTTGTGCACAGGTACTCTGCAGTTGATGACAGGAAATCACCCTGAGCCCAAGTTTGTACAGACTAAGGTGGAGGTGGCTCACACCTTTAAAGCTGACAGGCAGGGCCAGGCAGGTCTCTGAGTTCAAGGATGGCTAGGGCCATACAAAAAAAGGCTGCTTGGAAAAAAATGAGAAAAACAAAAATAGTGGGTATGGTGGTCTACAAAGTTGAAAGCTTAAAATGAAGACAACTAAAAACATTCATTTTACTGAATGAGAAGACCTACTGCTATAACCAGTACAGTTTTTGCTCCAGATTCACATAAAACCTAAAAGGTATTCCAACCAGAGTGTGTTGGACTTGCCTGTAGTGAGACTTCTGTGTTTAAGAATGTTTTTTGTTTTGGTCCCAGCTGTGGGATATGGGGCTGCTTCACTGCTGCTCCTTTGCCTTGTGTGCTAGCAGAGGTTTGTTTTTGTCAGCTGCAGATAGTTTTTGCGGCTGTGTAATGTTAGGAATTCATAAAACTTTTCAGAAGATATATAAATGCTAGAGCCCCAGTGGGCAGGATGGGTGGTTTTTGTTTTTTCAGGGGCTATTGGTTTGTTAGAAGTCCTACTCAAAGAAGAAACAAGAAAAAATAGATTCAAGGATCTGTCTCTCCCCTCTATATCTAATGACAGGGATGAATGGAAGATAAAGGATGGGAAAAAGAAGAACCCACAAAGTAGCAAAAAGCCAGCTACACATGCCTGTTTTGGGACTGAGCAGAAGTCTGAGGCTAGTCTAGCGTATATAGCTACAGCCTGCTATATAATAAAGTTACCATGAGAGTGCAGCATTCCTCATGGAGTTGCCTAAAGTTGAACTGATCTGTGGGACTGGAGAGGTGCTCAGGTTAGCAGCACTTGTTGCTGTTGCAGAGGACCTGGGTTCATGTCCCAGTACCCACAGCTGCCTATAACTCCAATTCCAATAGATCAGCCCTTTTTCTGATTTGGCTACCTGCACACAGTGGATAGGTAGCAGATAGACATACACTTTTTTTTTTTTTTTTCCAGTTCCAGGGGTTCTGACATCTTCACAGCAATGCACATAGGATAAAAGGGGGAAAAAAGATCTTGGACTTGAGAGATGGCTCAGAGATTAAGAGCACTGGCTGCTCTCCCAAAGGTCCTGAGCTCAATTCCCAGCAACCACATGGTGGCTCACAACCATCTGTTATAAGATCTGGTGTCCTCTTCTGGCATGCAGGTGTGCATGCAGAGACCACTGTATACATAATACATTTTTAAAGTTTTAATAAATGATCTTAGGGCTGGGCAAACAGCTTGGACTACATAGACCCTGCCTCAAAAAAACAAACCCTAAAATTAAAAAAAAAAAAAAAAAATAGCCAGGTGGTGGTGGCACGTCTTTAATGCCAGTGCTCAGGGAGGCAGAGACGACAGATCTTTTGAGTTCAAGGCCAGCCTAGTCTACAGTGTGAGTTCCAGGTCAGCCAAGGCTACACAGAGAAACCCTGTCGCAAAAAACAAAAGATGCAATTTACCAGATTATTTTATTATTATTATTATTATTATTATTATTATTATTATTATTATTATATGGAACAGAGTTAAGATGTCAGAGAAATCCCAAACTCTAATGAAGTGCAGAAAGGAAAAGGTTTTATTAACCACTTCTAATATGGGAAGGGTCGGATAAAATTATTCCAAGGTTTGCATGAAAGAATGTATAAGTAGAATGCCCTCCTGTCAGTGTTGTTGGAAGAGCTCAAAGCTGGTCTGAGCTATGTGGACCTCATCAAGGTCTAAAATCAAGGGCAGCCATGGCCTGGTGGTGCTGGCCTTTAATGCCATCTTGCTTTGGAGGCAGAAGCAGAAATAGCCCATCAAGTCCAAAGCCTACTCCAGCTATAGAGTAAGTTCCAGAGCAGCCTGAGCACCTTAATGAAACTGCCCAGAGCTCCGGGGAGGGAGAAGGAGTTAGAGCTCTTGCCTAGCCTGTTTAAATCCATGTACCACAGAGCAGGAAAGGGCTAGTTTGCGCCTGCTGGTAAATGCCTGTAACCTTAGCACGTGGAGGTAGAGGCTGAAGAAGGATGAGAGGAGTTCAAGGTCTTGAGTACATAGTTGAGGGCAGCCTAAGCTACATTAAGTCCTGTCTCAGAAATTAAACATGAAAACAAGGGCTGAGAAAGAGGCTCAAGGGTAGACAAACACCCATTTTATATAAGGCTCTGGTTTTAGTCTCCAGCACAAAAGAATAAACAATCAGGTGAATAAAATAGTCCAAATGCCTGAAAACCTGGCAGTGGGAAAAGGACACCAATAAGATTTTTTTTTTAAGTTAATTTTTCTTTATTACGTATACGTGTTTTGTCTCATGTATACCTGCTCACCAGAGGAGGGCACCAGATCTCATAGACTCTTGTGAGCCATTATGTGGTTGCTGACATTTGAATTCAGGACCTTTGGAAGAGCAGCCAGTGCTCTTAACCTCTGAGCCATCTCTCCAGCCTGACAGATTTCTTTGTAACTTAGGTTTTTATAATTTTACATGGGTATGGCTTGAATACTGGCCACTCTACCCCTCAACCCATACCACCCCTCTTCGCCCTCACTCCTCCCTACAAATCTCTCCTGTTTATGTCTATGTGTTCCATGTTGTGAACTGCCAAGATTTTTTAAATTTATTACTCTTATGTACATTGTTTTCCGTGTGTGTGTGTGTGTGTGTGTCTGTGTGTGTGAGATCCCTTGGATCTGATAGTTGGGAGCTGCCCTGTGGGTGCTGGGAATTGAACCTGGGTCCTCTGGAAGAGCAGCCAAGCATTCGTAACTGCTGAACCTCTCTCCAGTCCCATGACCCACTAAGATTAACCAGGGCCACTTGTGTGACCATAGGTTTGGGGCTGTTGATTGGAGCCTGAGGCTCTCTTCCGAGGGTACACAACTAAAATGCTTCTCCCTCTCCCAGAATCTCTCCCCATGAGTGGCCAGATGCAGAGGTGCACACCTGGAATGACAGCATTCTGGGAGGCAGAGGCAGGTGGATCTCTCAGAGGCAGAGGCTAGCCTAGTCTAGAAAGGGAGTCCAGGACAGCCAAGGCTAGTCTCAAAAAAAAAAAAAAAAAAAAAAAGAACTCCACGAGTCTCTCCTCTTTTGACTGAGAGTTGATATGGCTGGGCTTGTGCAAATAAGACATAGTTGTATAACTTAGACTGAAAGTCAAATGGAACAATATAAATTACATTTGAATTAAATGTAAAAGGCAGAGCCTGTGGAGACGGCTCAGTGGATAAGAGTGCTTCCCAAGCAAGCCTAAGGACCTGAATTCAAAGCCCCGCAGAAGAAAGGGCATTCGCATGCATTCCTTAACCCTAAAGTTGTGCACAAAGGAGTAAAGCCGGGCATGCTGGCTGCCAGCCTAGCACCAGGTTCAGTAGGGGACACTGTTTCAAGGGAACAAGACAACAAGGAATGAGTGATAGAATGATAAACCCAATGCTCTCCTTCAGCTCCCTTGAGCTCATAGGTGTGTGCATGCATAAACACATGCATATGCCATATGTACATTCATCACGTACATACACACAGGCACACATAGCTATAACCAGGTGTAGTGGGGCACATCTTTAATCCCAGCAAAGGTAGAAGCAGGGGGATCTCTGAGTTTAAGACCAGCATGGTCTACCTATG